ATGGATTTTCATGCCCTAAGCACGGAGCAGCTCAGAGTGCAGCGGGGGTCAGAAGCAAGTGTCCATCTGCTCAGAACAAATCGTACTGCAGGCTTGCTAAGCTTTTGCTAAGCACACACACACGCAAAAATAAATAAAAAGCAGCTTGTTTTTACAATAAAATAATCAGTCACAAGTACAAAAACTGTTCATAAAGTACACGCCTTCTGAAGGGCTCTTTAACAACTCTGCACAGGGATTGTTTTTGACGGAAACAGAGAGGGTGAACACCATGTGTGTATTCCTTCTCACCTAGTTAATGTGGATAAAAACATCTCTCTCACAACTGTATAGCCTCTAACAGTTTAGGGATGGTTAGCCACAAACCCTATAAAAATCTGGTCTTGAAATAGCAACCTTTCCCTCCCCTGCCCCCCCCCCCAACCGCTCTATCCTCTTTTACTGCTATTTACCAGACTAACTTCTCAGCTGATGCATATCATCATAGCTGTTCTAATACCAAACATCTTGTGCCAGTTTACAACCTTCTGAAGATCTGAACCCTCTCTGCTGTCCTGGAAACAGATCTGCGGTCTCTGCAGAAACTAATATTCTTTTATACACACACAGATGTAGGTATCCTGCCCCCACTAGCTCATATTTAACCCTCTTAATTTTGTTTATTTTGTCTTCATGATATAAAACCAAGCTGCACACCCAGCAACAAGCTTGCAGCAAATCGGTGCATCTTATTTTCAGTGGACGGTCCTTCACAGGTCACATACTACACCCCCAAGGGATTCATGAAGAGGGCTAGGTCGGAGTCTCTACAATTTTAATTTCAGTCCGTCTGTTAGAGGAGTTAGCCTCAAACTTATCTTTCCCAGTGCAGCTGGAGCAGACACAGAGATTCACAGGTAGAATGGGAAGATGCAGATGTGGTGACAGTAGTCACCATTCAGTACCCTGTCTCTCTGCTTCCCCCAGAGACAATGAAAAGCTGTGCACTCCCTTTCCCTGCACCCCAAAGATCCAGACAGAGGCGAGGAGGGCAATAACCTGTGTGCCCTACCCTCTGCTATAACCAAGGATAGAGGTTTCTCCTGCTTGCCAGACTTTGAAATGGGCCAGGTGCCTCTTCTCACTTTCCAGCCTCCACACTGAGCTATCACCCAAGAAAACACCTAAAAAGCCCTTCAGCAAACAGATGAGGAAGGTCCTGGAGGTAAAAAAAAAAAAAGGTAGCAATGTGTGATGCACTCCAGGCACTGTTTTCGGAGGACACTTGCATGGAAGTGCCATTCAGGCAGCGTGGTGGAGAGTGACGGAGGGTTCTCCCGAGAAAGCTCCGACACAAACGGGCTGGACACAACACAGCAGTACAGCATGGTCAGTCAGACCTGCCTCTCCTCTGGGCTCCTGACTCCAGCACAGCGCTGGGGCTAGACCCCTTCCAGCCTCGTCTCCTATTTCTGCAGCACACCACAGCAGCCTGCACCACGCTAGCACGGGGATCTCTAACACAGCAGCGCCTTGGCTTTCTGCTTCTCCTTCACGCTGTCCCATTCTGCTAAGGCAACCACTGTGCAAGCAAGACAGCTGAAGATCAGAGCAAACTCAGGGGTATCCGCAAGTACAACCCCCAGAGCCACCAAAACACCACTGTACGCCCAGATGGGTGTACATGTTGCTCTCCTTGCTGGCTATCACAAGGTCACTGTGCTTTGAGTTTTTGACTGGTGTGCCAGAAAAACTGGAACTGGGCCTGTCATTGATAGCACATTTTCTCAGATGGCTCTCAAACGTCTTTATAAACTTTAGTAAATGAGTGTATAAACTAGACCTATCTACACATAAATCACTGTCCACCACCAAAGTACAGCCATCTCTGGGATGATACACAGCAGCTGCTGTAAAATCAGACCGCAGCTCCACACCACAGATTAGGGCAATAAAACATGCTGCATGAGGCAGGAAGGGGGACATGGTGGAGAGCATTTTGTAGTTTTAATTACCCGAGTATAAATTTGGCTAAAGAGAGTACTGTGTTTAACACTTGCCTATCTGCAAATCAAAGCAGTCTTCCACCACCTGTCAAAACAACCTGACTGTAACATTCTCCATGTTTTGGCCTTCTAAAGCCCTTCCTGAAAATTGCAAAGCACCTTGATAAGAGCAAAGCTGATGTGCTGAGCACAAGCAATAACCTAATCAAATTTCTTTAGCAACTGACTTGATAACTGAGTCTGTAGCTGCTATGCCCCCTCCCTTCCTCTTCCCTTGCATGACAACTGAGCATAGTATATATTCCCAGTTTTAAAATAGTTTCTGCGCCTGTGACTTGCAAACCATTTACACAGATCTTATTTTCTAGGCTAGAAGTAGTTAATTACAGTCACTAAGGGGACTGAACTGCTGCATCCTTTTCCTTATTCTGGGATGGTCTCCTTGAGCAGTGCATTGCCCCCTCCTCAAATCACGAACTGTTTATAATAGGAAATCTTTAGAAGGATGAGGCCACACAGATTAGATCTATGAATTTCCTGGTATCGAGGACAGCAGATGAATAGTTATCCTCTCCGTCTTCTCCTTGGCCATGCAGCCATCATCTGAAGCTAAACCTCAAAACTAGTAAAGTATGGGGAAGTGATTTGAAAGGTACTTCCACTGAGTACATGACATGGGACAGCATGGTTTGGGATGAGGCCACCCACACACAGTAGGCTGATGCACCACACAGACTGTGCACAGTGCTGACCTGCAAAAATCATTCATTCGAGTGCCATCTCTCTACACCAAGTTTTAACTTCTCTGACACAAGTGTCCCTATTTCCACAATCTCTCCTAGATACCGCAAAAGCTGAAATTATTAGCAAAATATTCCTGTTGGAGAACCAAGAGAGTCCAGCAGTACACGTTTGAATTGGTTTATTATTTAAATACTGCTAATCGTGAGTGAGAGCTCAGACAGACCATATACAACACAGGGCCCATTCAGTTCCCTCGGCTGGATCAGGAGCACACTAACACGTGAGTCTCCTGCACTGGTTCACACGGCAGCCTCCACGTGCACAGCAAGGGCTCCTTGAACTGGAACTAAACCAGGAGATCGGTCCAACTCCTAAGGGGAATTTGGTACACAGGGCCAGACTCGAACTAACCCAAAATGAACTCCTGAGGTGTGTACAGTGTGCACCTAACAGTCCTTACTACCAACTGTGCTAGATGACGAATCTGTGTCTACGGGAGCACGCTACTTGGTAACGTAGACATAGCCATATACACGGTCTCCCTGTGTGAAATGTCTGTAGCAATCAGCCAGTTAATCAAGGAATCATAGAATGGTTTGGGTTGGAAGGGACCTTTAAAGGTCATCTAGTCCAACCCCCCTGCAATGAGCAGGGCTGACTGCTTGCAGGCAGCTTTCTGTGCACTTACATGGAAATGTTTATTAATTCATATACCCATCTACAGACAGATATGAATGACATCACGTACCTATCATATCGGATACCTCTCCCAGCAATTTCACTTCACTGAGGCTGTCAGTTTTCAGGAACTGGCGAGGAGGTGAACCATGTTTCCCTTGGGGCTGCATAACAGGGGTTTCAATGTGCAACTCTGCCACCAGTATTAACCAGTAAACTGCACATACTCCACGCCAAGTTGCACCTTCACATCTTTGCAGGCCTTAAGGGAGTCAGTTGAACTAACCGGACACGAGGGCATAATTAGGTCTGCTGTGTTTGAACGAAACAAGTAAACATGCTCCAGCTGGAGTGTTGCAGAGCTAATAACCTAAGAATATAACCCAAGCCCTGTGAGTTAGAACACGACACATCAATGGTTTCATTGTATTGAGTTAACTCACACCAGAGGTATGAGGCACGCACCGAGAAAAAGCTCTGTGGATCAGATTGTGCAGTCCTAACCTCTGCTGCTGTCATCCATCTGCACCCTCAGAGCAAAAGCAATCTTAGATAGAGAAACCACTACACTCAGAACTTCGTCATGCAAGACAAAAGAAGACATTTCCTGTGTACACAAATCCTGGCTTTCATGTTTGCACAATCAAAAGGAGGGAAATGGCAGCTTTTGAATGGGCACACTTCTGCATAGTTAAGAATTTTCTATTACCAGCAAAGCAGAAAATTATACAACTCTTTTCTTGTTCTGTAAGTACAACACAGGGCATGGAACGCATAAAAAGTACGAAACTCCCAAAATTGTATAGTTAAGGATTTCAGCATGCAAATCCAGCAGCTAAAATCCTACAAGACAGCCATGCCTGGTGTCATTTTATTCCTGTTAGCCTCGTGATCCATTATAAAAGTGTTCATGAAGAGAAAAAGACCCCCAATCTGAATTTTTATAACTAACAACTTGTTCAGAGAGTGTAAGGTGGAAGAATGGCTGCTGCATGGTCTGCTAGATATATAAAACATTGTCAATGGTTATCCAGGAAACATAAATGCCCTGGGTAAATACAGATAGTGAAGAGAAAGTAATTTGAACACAGTATAAGAGAATTAGATATTGTCTTTTTTTTTTTTTAAGCATACATCTATATTCTGCTGCTGAAAAAAAACAAATTTAAAGCTAAACTTCACAGTTTATGGTTTGATAAGAACACTGTTTATGTCCTTACAAAGATCAGTAAATAAAATTGACCATAAAAACAATAAAAGTATCTGGACAAGAGGAAAAAAAGAGAAATGTGTAGGTTTAGAGTCTGGTGACAGCTGGTTTATTTCAATAATGTAAAATATTTTGTAAAGGTTAAGCTTTCACTATGACACAAAGTTTCTGGGCCATCTCTTCAGTTGCTGTGACATTATTTACCAGTTTCCAAAAAGCTCTAAATAATATAGATTAATTTTTGGCTGAAAATCTTAACAAAATGTTAATCTATGCGTACACAACTGAGACAAATAGGGGTCATGCAGGTGCCACAGTGGCATGACAACATCCACATTGCCTTGCTCCCCGCGTGAAGCTCCACACCAGCATGTTGTACTCACGTGTTTTGCTGAGAACTCATTAACCTCCTGAAGCACCTTCTCCTGGCACTCCGGGTTGGTGGCTAGCAAGTATGTGGCAAAGGACAGTGTGCTAGTGGTGGTCTGGTACCCGGCGATCAGGAACAGGAAAGCTTGGCCTGCTATCTCATCATCCGTTAACGTCTTCTGAACGTTTTCAGACAGGCCCCTGCCAGCAAGAGGCTCCTCGTTCTGTCTGGAAGCGGCAGATGGGCTGATCGCATCAAAACACCCGGCTGCCAGGGTGTCAGCGGAGCCGCGGGAGTCGAGCATCCACTGAAGAAAATCTCTGCGCCTCTGCAGAATACAGGATGGGAAGAAGCACAAAGAATGGGTCACAGAGCAATGCCTTTACCCACGGGGGACGGAAGGAGAGAGCTGTTTCCTATTTGTACTGCCCACTTGGCTCCCACAGAATGGCCTCCGGCCTTCCACTGAACAAGACTTCTATAACTCAGCTAGAAATGCCATCACTAAGAGCCAGTCACTGCTTTCTTCCCAGTGGGATGAGACAGATCTGCCCCTAATACATAACAGGTACATAATTTCACAGAGGATTGCTAATGGCCAGCTCCGCGCAGAGCTTCCTTCATCCTCAGGGTGAGGTTTTGGTACTTGTGGAAGTAAGGGGATTGGCACAGTCAATGCACGGTCCCATGTGCACCTGCCAAGCGGAGGTGGCACAACTCGTGCTTGGAGGAGCTGGCCCATCCGCTTGGAGGCACCATCCTCATTTGTTCACATGGTCCAAAGCATGAAAGTCACCATCTAGGTTTAGGGTTGCATCTACAATCATTTCTGTGCCAGCTTAACAAGACAGGACTAGAAACTGATCTCAGTAAACTAGTGCATCTTTTTATGAGAAAGTACAGTTATGAACACTAGTACCAATATAGCTTTTTTGTTGTTGTTTTTTTACATATTTGCAGAAACGCATTACAACAGTAAGCATTCCTCTACCATAAAACCTGTTTGGGTGCCTTGTCTTTGCAAAATGCCCACTGAATGATTCTACTGTTATGAAAACTGCTTTCTTTCACACTAGTTTCTGACAGAAAAACTCTAATACACAAACCTATGGACAAGAGTGAGTTGACTTCAAACCAGTCTGAACAGCAAGCTTGATTAGGCTTTGAAATATAACCCAAAAGGTTTGAATTGACTTTTTGGGAGTGGCCATAATAGAATTGTGCTGAACCTAAGCCATAAGGCTATGTGATTGATTTTCAATTCCTCAAATACCAACAGAATACATGATAGCTCAAGGACTTAGAAGTGACTGCAGGGCCAGAACATGACAACTTGTGCAGTGGGATGGACAAAAGAAGGCACCAAGTCTTTCTTCAAAAGAAAAAAAAAAATGCTGTAGAGCTGCATTTATCTGTTAAAAAGAAATCATTTGAATGATTTCTTGGATCTGATGATTGAGAGATAAAGTAGAAAAAGGAAAAGCCAGAGAAAAGGACAGGCAAACAAGATAAGAGTAAGGAAGGACTAATTAATTATAAATGTCAAAGGACTTAATCAGATTTTTTTTCCACACGACATGAGAAAAGAGAGCAGTGAGACAACAAAAGAGGAGAAATACTTATGTGTCCTGTGCTTAGCTCTGCTGCCAGAGCAAACTGTTCTGACCGATCTACAGGCAGAGAGGAATAGTTATTTTGAGGTTTGTGTAATACAAGGGATTAGCACACCGCCTCTTTAACAGCTCCTTCCCTCCACCCCACAGAACCTTTTCATTTTGCATGGGTACGTTATGCACCTTGTACCCATGACCATAGTGCATCTTGCAGCCTGGTGCAACCAAGAACCGATGCTCCGGATAGTTGCTAGTGCCAGTCACTGCACGCTGAAGGACTCAAGAAATTGGCCAAACTGCATCACCTCCAAGGCATGGGATACATGCTTTTCCCCCAGTAAGTGAAGGCACACAAAGCAACATTACATATGAGCAAATGAGCTCCAGCTCTGAAAATAGTTCCTTGTGCCTAGACTTAGGCACAATTTCCGTATTCAAATTGGCCATGCTTCCTTGGTCCCTCATTTCTAATACAGCAAGCCAAAAGTTCTAACTGCCCTGCCACAGTCATCCTCCTCCAGCGTGAAAGGATACCTCTGCTCTTTTATGTTCTTCTAAACTGGAGGAAACAATGCTTCATGCATACTTCAGCTGTATGGGTTAGGACAATTTTTAAATAAAATAATAAAAAAACCCAAAACAGTCCAGTTCCACCGTGTTCATTAGTGTGTGGATAAAGTAGTCAGGATATTAATGAACTGCATCTGTAGAGATATTCCCTTCTATTCATAAGACTAGTCATCATCACCTAAACTACCTTTATGACATCAAAATGTATAATTACATTCCTATTCAGTGGAGTTGTAACACTGTAACACACTATAGTTTGAATGATAAAACATTTGGTCTGGTTCTGCATTCACCCTTCTCTAGCTGTGAATTTTCTTGTAAACAAACCCATGGCTCTCTGAGGGTTTGCAGTTCCCAGTCATGAGCTGTTAGCTGAGTCTGGTCTTATATTTAGACAATACACTCTCTGGAGACCCTATAAGACGTTTCTCCAGCCTTAGACAAAATCAGGTCCTGGCCTTATACAAAGTGTCTGGTTATTGCTGTGATAGTAAAGTAATAATCCTAATGACTAGTGAATAAAATTTCATTCATGAGAATTTTTGCTGAAAGCAAACTTAATGAATGCTAGCACAAGTGAATACTCCCAAGAATGTGCTCTGAAATGCCTCTGTGGCCATTTTGAGGAGCTCTTTTTATTACTCACATAATATATTTGGTTAGGAATTTAAAAGCTTGTCTTGTTGCAGAATCTGTTTATAAGGTCACCCTATCGAGAAACAACTAGATACCTTATCTGTGCCATGTAATTTGTTCACAGGTGAGCGGGGGTTGCTGAGAGCAATGGCTTCATAAACAATCCTTACAAAAACAACATTCATTTGTAAAAACTACTTGAATAATAGTGGGGAAGAAAAAAAAAAGCATAAAATTAGAAAGATGCACGCTTTTTTCAAGATAATTCTACATGCTGGAAGGAGCTATTTTTTTTAGCAAAGCTTCTCTTCCTTATGGTTCATTCTACTTCACTTTAGGCATCAGTATAGAATGCAACATAAAAAATCATCATCAACCCAAGCGAGAGGAAAGATTTCCAGGGTTATAACCAGTCATAATGAAACATATTTTTCTTCCGCATCATCAGGATGGAAAAATCACTCTGACTCAAAAACCTAACAATGGCAATAGAGGCAAACACTAGCATAAAAGCAAATATAATTGGATTGTTAAGTGCTAGAAATGAGGAAAAGGTATCTCATGAAAATTCACGGGGGTTTTCTCCACTTCAGTTGACAGCAGGGAAAAAAAAAAAAAGGCATTTCTTCCAGTTTGACAACAGACCAGGTACTAACAATGTCACTGCTTAAAAATATTCTCTGGTCATCACATACAGCTGCTGGCTTCCTTTTTCCATCAGGGACATTTGTTTGATTCTCCTTGCAAAAAGCAGAAGTCCATAATAGCCTCTATCCTGTCCTCTGACACTCACATAGTTATGTTACAGTGGCCTAAGAAACAAGTTCCCGCTTCAAAAGAACGGCGTGCCAATGCGACGGACTCTTGTTTTGTCCCTGTACAACACAGAGCCTATCATTAACCCAATGAAAATTGAATTGAAAAGCTACTACTTGAAAAAATCTAATTTGAATGCAGTATGGGACGGGGTGCATGTCTAACTTGGTGACATAGACATCCCCTTTGAAATATATAATAAGACAAGCCCCACTTTCAGCTTCGCCAAGATAGACACCTTGCAATATATTTCCTGACACCAGTGTTCTGGGCCGTATCATTTCTCTCATTAGTCTCCTTAAACATCACCTGGCCATGCAGAGAAATCATTCTGCACAGAACCGTAACGAGCTATGTGCTACACACTGGAAGAATAGACGCGTGCTATACTGGGGAAGGCCAATCCGGCAGCATCTATCACCCCTCCTCAAATCACCGCTTTTAAGTTTTGCTGCTGTCAGAAGAAGAGAGATATCTCGCTCACATGCGTGATGTATCATGACTTTTCTCACAGGAGGCAAGGGTCCTGGGGGGCAGGGGATGTCTCCAGCTCTTTCCATCCTAAACAGGGAACTGTATTTTCATATCGAAGATTGACATACTGGCTGACCTTTTGGCAAATTTACTGCTGCTTTGGGGATTTGGGGGACCCTTGGGTTATGCTTTCTGTAAAGAGATTGTGCCATGCAACCTCTCTGCAGGGTGAAGTAAAAAATTTACTTAAGGAAAACTAATATACTTAAGGTATATTATTAGTTGGAATTTTTGTAACTACTGTTGTGATTTCAGTTGTATTTTCTGCAAACTATATTCAAATTTTGCACCACTCTGATTGTTCAGTTCCCCAATTTGGGTTCAAAAGAGCCCAGAACTACAAAAAGCAACTTAAAGATGAAGAAAAGAAGCAAACTAGAAGACATAATCAGTTGGTATTCTGTAAAGCCCTTGCTGTGGTGCAAACATCATATAAATGCGATGCTGTTCATATACTACCACTCACAATAAACTGTGCAGACCCTCCTAGCCTTTCTCAGGTTCTCTGATGGCAGCTCAAAAAAAGCAGAAGCTAAGCTTCAGAATCCTTATCTTACAGGTATAAAGCTCACATGTCTCTGAAATATTATTTCAGTTTCCTGCAAACTTGTACAAAAACTGCTATATTAGTTTATATCCAGGTCACTTTTGTAAGTGTGATTTAGCAACCATCTTTTTAGGTGAGACAAACCTGTGTCACCCTGAAGTTCTCCCTAAAGTACTGCGGCAGCTACCCAGATCTTTTTGAAAAAGAAGAGCAAAATGCAATCTCACTAAAACTATCATTTGCCAAACTGCTTTGAAAGGATCAAATTCAACCTGTCCCTAACACTTGCAGGTTTAATTTGTTTTCTCCGTCAAATAACAAAAAAAAGCCAGTCTCTCTGCCAATACATCCAGTCCCATTTCAGAGCGATCATCCTTTTGCCTTGTGCTTGAACCCAGAAGCTGGAATTAACTGGGAGGCCAGAGCTGACAGCCCTCAAATCTGTGCGTCTGAAAGTTGAGGGCATGGTGCTCTCACGGGTGATGCTCAGCTCTGGAAGGACCTGGAGTCTGTTAAACTGCAGGGTACGGCCGTTGTTCGAGCGTGGCTGGGAGGCTTTCAGTCTGGCAGAAAAAAAATCTTTTGTTTGCATTTGTTAACTTCAGCTGATGA